CCACTACAAACTGAGCCACCAATTATGAAAACCTACTACAATTTTGTTGATATGGATGGCACGGACAATAAGCTGTTTAGAAAGTATGTGTACACTTTATTGGATAACTCCAACAATAAGCGAGTTGTCATCCATTACAAAGGAGGGGATCTAGTGTCTTCTACAGCTTCACCTCATATTTGTACATTTCCATCAGTATTAAGAGAACTTGAAAAGTCAGAAGGAACACCGTCCGTTCTTTATAAACAGAAGATTGGAACATGTGGTCCATTACAAGAGCATACATCTTTGATGTTACCAAGGAACCAAAAGCAAATTAAGAATCTTCAATCAAGGTGACATATGCATGTTACTGTATAGCGGGATTTATTGGAGAGTAAAAGATTACACAAAAACATTAAATTTCCCTGTTTGGTGAGCTTAAATTTGACAAGTAAAAAAATTGTGCCTATATGCACACGGTGCATGTCATTTTTTGATGGTTATAAAGTCAGACGTTTCATTTTTAATTGTTAACTCATCATAATATGACCTTCGTCAATAGATCCTGCTATACGGTAATTTTAATCTCCAGTGATTTAATAGTTTTGTGTTTTAGTTGTGTTTTATACTTAATACTAACATGATTATTTTGTCTAAAATAGGTATCGTCAAAGATTTAGGCTATCACATGACTCATTATATAACCTTCACGAATTATCATATGACCTACAAAATTTTGTACATAAAATTGTCACATACCCGGATGTTATTGTTATTTGTGGACTAAAGTCAATGTCGGCAGAAATTAATCGGTTACTGTTACTGAAGTCAGGAGGTGCTCAGCTTCTATCATATGACACCACATTTAAACTTGGAGACTTTTATGTTTCGCCTATTCTATTTCGTAATATCCTTTTTCGAAGCAATCCAGTCATGCCAGCTATGTTCATGATTCATGAACGAAAATTGAAAACAACTCATGATGAACTTATGAAGATAGTAGCAAAAGAGCTACCATGTCTTGTACATGGTACCCAGTCTGTTTCAATGGTTACTGATGAGGAAAGGGGATTTGTTTCAATAGATGAGCATCTACCAAAAGTCTGCAGATTTTTTTGTTGGAATCACATCATTAACTCGGCAAAGAATTGGCTAAAAGGTCATGGAGCAACATCTGCAGAGGTACCGGTCTATGTTGGTAACATTCGTAATCTTCTGCATAAAGATTCGTATGAACAGTACGAGTTATGTTTGGATGAAGTTAAAAGGAATTGGAGCCAACCATTTCTTCAGTACTATATGTCGGAAATACATGTGAAGGTAATTCAATAGTACACTAGAGCATGTATATACTTGGTTAAATGTTATAGTACACATTTGTCATAGACTTCACTATTCTTTAAATTTTAATTTATATGATTTAAGTATCTTTTTACAGATCGAATTTGCTTCTCGCTGGAATTTAGAGAAGCATGGTATATACAGCCCAGTTAGTGGCGTTACAAACAATCAATCTGAAGGTTTTAACTCTGTCCTGAAACGTCTCCAAAGTTGGAAGAAAATATCTATTGACACAGCACTATTATCCCTGTACCATCTACACGCATACTACAGGAATGAATGGCAACGTGGGTTGGCAGGTACATCATGTGTATGCACATCATGAATTATTTCGTGCATTCCATTCTTTATTAGGATTAGGGGAGCATAGATTAAAAGACGAATTTTTGTCTGCTAGTATTTCACTAGATGAGATAGAAATAATGGAAAATATTAGTTTAGAAGAAATAGTAAAAAGAATAAATGAAGGCGTTGATTTATCTGAACATGCTGAAGCTCATGAATTTGTGGAGACGGTGTATGTATTTCAAATGTGCATGTACTTTTTATTGCTTGTTTTATAGTTCAGCAGAATCAGTAGATGTTTCTGGAACTGATATTCCGGCAACTTATTTGGAGGATAAAAATTTAAGGTTTTATGAGTATTAGTAGTAGTACTTAAAGCAGTATTATAATTATATTTTTTTGCTCTGTAGATGTACATCATCTCAAGCAGACGAAAAACTGAATACAGGTAATGAAGGCCTCGGTAATGACTGTAATTCACAAATCATAAGAGCTGAGTGAATATTATGAGCATCAGAAACATATTATTGTACTGCGATAGGTTGCTAGTTAAAAATGGTCGTATTTCACATGATACGAAGGCAAAAACATTCACTGTGCTTGGCACTGGAGGCAAACCCCATGTAGTTCGAATTTTTCCATTAGAATATTGTTCCTGCCCTTCATCCTCTACATGTTACCATATTCTTGGTGTCAAGTTAAGCCTGGGAATGCCATTGATACAACAAACTAGGCCTGTCAACCTCAGCCAATTGCGGTGGAATACTAGAGGAAAAAGTCTGAAAAAATGTGGTAGAAAAAGACCGAGACCAGGTTCACCCTAGTCACTTGACCTCTTTTACTATCGTAAATTTTTAGGAGACTGTGACATTGTAGTATCAGCTGCTCCTGACTCACAGGCTAAGACAGAATTGTTATTAGATGGTGACATGGTGAGTTGCGTAATTAAATTATTTCCTAGTAGATGCATATATTTGTAACATGGTTCTAGAATTATTATGAAGAGTCTCCCACTATTTCTCCTTATCAACATGTTGAAAATCAATCAACAATTCAACAGCCTGAGGTTAGAACTTGTAAATTAAAATGTGTCTTTACATTGCATTGCTCATAGTCCCACGATATTGATGTGAAGCTTAAGCCTGAAGTAACAGTTAAATGTGTGTCTGAACCTTCTTCATTGTCCAGTAATAAAAAAGTTTGCTATATATATAATGAACGTAATTTGAAATTGTAATTAGCTTAAACAGGCCAATTATGCTATGCCACAACCAAGAAATACTGAAAAACTTCCTGAAGTTAAACGTAATTATTGCCTAAAAAGTTGTGTACTTCATTTGAGTATAGGTGGTAGATGCATGCAGTGTGTAGGTTGCAAAAGTGATGATTGTGGAGTCTGTATCTTTTGTAAAGATAAGAAGAAATTTGGTGGACCTGGTAAAAGGAAAAAAGCGTGCATAAGGAGAGCATGTGTTGCAGTGTGTCAAAAGGTTTTAATTTTTT